ATATCAACCGCATATCATCCATGTTTTTATCACTAGAAGTGTTCTTTTTTTCACATTTTCACCAGTTGTTATTATTGTTCTATCGATTTGTGCCAGTTCCCTTGATATTTTGGATCTTCCCTTGAGACCTCTAGTGACATTTTTATATAGCGACAGGTTGTCTGAAAGCTTTGCTAATTTCCTTTGGACTTAATTGGATTTACTTATCATTAATCCTGTGGCAGATGAATTCAAGATAATGCAGAAATGTATTTTGACAAATTGTAAGACTAAAGGTGGTTATTGCATCTAAGTGTACCTATATCCAATGAAAGAAAATCTTAATTGTTTTGGGGATAATTTGGATGGCAAGTTCTGTAAAAAAATCATGACGTAAGAGACTTGGATTAGTTCTTGTTTTTCAGTTTGAAATAGTAGTCTCAGGATTTAGGTTGACAGCTTACTGGACTGATAAAGTATGGAGTGGAAATCTGTTTTTAAGCTTTAACATAGTAACTGTTTTGTTGTAGGAAATCCTGTTAAATGTTTAGAATATGCAGGCATCGCTGCACTATTGATTTTATTGGGTGATTGTAAATAACCTTAATTTACGTTTTATCACTCAAGGTACATATAGTCCAGGTGAAATGCAAGCAATGGAGTTACAATTAAATGCGATTATCATATGATAATCATGTACAACCTAATAAAATAGTTCCTTAGTGATAGCTACATCTGTGTTTACTTGGAAAAAGGTTTTTTTTTGGCATTTTGACATTGTCTGGTGGAACTAACATGTCAAAATGGGCAGAACAGAATCAATACAATGATGAAATTGGAAATAGGTAGGCTGCAAGTTTATTGATTAGACAATTTAGATAATTATATTGCATTTCTGTGTAATGTGTATGGAGGGATAAAGGAAGCAGTACACACAAAATGTAGTGTTAAACAATGCTGACAACATATTATATAGTATACCTAAATGGATTAACTTCATTGTGGACTTAGCATTGAGTACTGTAATAGACACTATCTAGGATACGTTTCAATGAAGATTTGCTTAACTGAATTTGACAAATTAACAGCAGTTTTTTTAGTGAATCAGATTTCAAACTCTTTCCTTACAAGCTGCTGTGACAAGGTGCTTTCAAAGCTTTAAGACATTGAAGAATTTCAAGAGGTGTTGACAACATCCAGTGGTTCAACATTTGGTTTTTGTTGTATTGAACAGAGGTGTAGTTTACTCTTTTGTGTCATGTTTCTCCAGTGTCCTTCAGTTGAACCAGTGTGGTTCACACTAAAGAGCCCTCCTTAGCCCTCTTCTCTTGACAGCAATTGTCGTCCACTTCAGCCTGTAGACAAAACATCTTGACTGGGGCTGTATTGTCGATTGTACTAACAAGTTGTAAACACTCAACTTGTTCTCTTTTAGTGCTGTTTGCCTTTTCATGGGAAAATGCTGACCAGACACGAGGGAAAGAACTTGGAAAAGGACGAGAAACGACTTTGCAGACAGTTGTTTATTCAATGTTAAGCACCATCTTTACTTCAAAGTCTTGAACAAAGGTTAGGCTCTATCAATCTATACCAAGTGCTAAGTCTAGACTTCTTCAGCCAAGCTCCTTGATTCAACTTTGTACTAACTATAGCTTCAGGTAACATATCCGGCTACATAGTGCACTCACACAGTCAGAACATGATGTGAGGATGTTGCATTTTTGCAAGGATGTTTTAGGTCTTTTGAGTTGCAAATATATCTTTTAAATATAGTGCCTTTCTTTTCACTAGACAAAGCTATGGTGTAGGTCCTCTTTTGCTGTTCAAGGTATAAAAGAAGTATAGATTGAAATATTTCCTACCTGGTATTTTTTTGTCTATAGTTAAAGCATTTAGGCCTACTAGGTTCTCAATGATCTATTGTTACTTTGTGAAGAACCAGCATGAATGCCAGACAACCCTTGACAGGCCTATTCATTGGCCCCTCAGTGGTGAACAAAAGATGGCTCCTAATTGAAAGTTCTTTTGAACCAATCAGTATCATGGTCTAAAAGATGTTCCGGTCATCAATCCGCCTGGTTAGGTCTTAGTCGTCAAAATTTAAACTTCCAAGGCTACTGCTTTTTTTTTTAAGTAAAAATTTTACTTTGTCCCAAAAAAGTTCAGCACTTAATTTAAAAAGATTGTGCCAATGATTTCTGTAAACATTTCATTAACAGTATTCTTGTCTTTTCATTTGCCACTCTTCAGGAAAATATTGCCTTTTCAGTGATTTCACGGATACTTCAACCAATGAAAATTCAGTGACCTGTCATGCCATTAATCTCAAATCAATTACCAACCAAAACTAACCGATCTGGGATACCCATTGTTGTGTGTTTCCATCTATTGCCCAGAAAAAATTTCTAATTTGATAAATCACCTGAGAACAAGTGGTCACACTACAAAGCAGGAAACAACACATTGTCATTGTGTCTGTTAACCATACCCTCTACAAAAGGAACACCCTTTTATTTATCAAATATTCATTGTAATTTCTGTGGGTAGATGTATTTAGTGGCTTTATTCCAGAATGGAAAGGACACAGTTTGGAAAAGCTACATTTTGTAATCTGTAATCTGCATGGGACATTTGGCATGACAAAAAATTCAACTTCATATCATAATTCATGTTGATGGATCATGTGGATATCCCTATGGTATACATTGAATATAAAGGCTATATTTTGAACCATTACTCTTCTTGTCCCAATTGGAAGGGATATACTAGTAGTCAGATTCATGTATGGAACATTATTACAGAATCGAAGAACAAGATGGTTCCAGTGTGCTCAAAGAAGTAAACTCATGTACATGTAGTACATAAATCAATTAACATCATAGCCATGCCCCCTAAAACTATAGCATACTAGGTATTTGTCAATCACTCCCAATAGTTTCTATTTGTGCCAATTGTTGTTTTCTTTTTTTTTTTAGATTTTTTCATGGTTTTAGACATGAGGCAACCCCTTTACCCTTTCCTGTAAGTATCACCCTCCACAGGCCTCACCCTTCTGTGAATGTCAACCTCCAGTAGTGATAAACTGTCAGACATTCCAGAGATGCTGTTAAGATGCACAGACAAACTATCTGGTGCTACAAGGGTCAGGAACGGTTCAACACGAGATTTATTGTCTGTTTGTGGTACATATGTAGGTTGGGAGTCGTTTCTCCCTGTCTGTCCGTGGTGTAAACATTGCTAGGATGATTAGTATTGATTGTGGGCTGGACATTTTTATGACCACTGTGCCAGTGTATACCTGTTCTGCCATAATGCTTCTGGGAAATATTAAAATTTCTGAGAACGAAGCGCCGCCTTTATTTGCAGGGGAAAATAAAGTAATTGAAGTGAGCCTTTGTCTTCTACTAGGCAAGAAACAATTTCTCCCTAAAATCTACTAAGTCATACTTTAATAGAAATTTTTATGTTTCTCCCTAAAATCTACTAAGTCATACTTTAATAGCAATTTTTATGTTTCATGATACATCCATACATTGATAGCTATAAAAATGTCATTAAATGTCAAAATTTATTGCATCAAGATGTGTCGGTGAAAACAAAAGAAATGTATTGTACAAGCACATGTAACATTAGATCTATTTTCATCCTAACAAATTATGTTTATGCCATGACTTCACATTGGATCCTATGGCATGTAAAAATGGCCTGCTGTTCAAATATCCAAGTGACAGAAGACCTGATTAGTCTAGCTGTGTTGGATTCCTCTGAATAAACTCCCAGCAATTTGAGAAGACCATTCCACAGAAATAGCAGCAATTGTCAACCTCATTAACAAGTAATTAGCTTGTCTGTCCACTCAATTAGGACAAAAGATATTATAATCCTTCTCTATGGGTGGCAAGCTTATCCATTCAGTGTTAGATGACTGATGGTTGTTTAGGGGGAGGGGATATTTTTGATAAACTGGCATTGTAACTGATATACCTCTTGATTGACAGGAAATGATATGTTGCACAGATAAACACATCTGCTCCTTTTTTTCTCCAGATTTGCAGCCTCCCCCTGCCCCGCCTCCTATCTGTAATTCATAATCTTTCTATCCCTAGATAACATACTGATTACTGTGTATTAGGCATTCACCACCATTTGTGATAACATTGTGTTAATTTTGAAAGGTGATTATTGTGCTAAAATTTAGCCAGATATTTTCAACACAAAGTGGAAGAAAACATAGACTCAGTCAGTAGGAAACGTTTTGTTGTGCGTTTGCCTGACCTCCCCCTGATGTGTAGGGTCAGCTGTGATGAGGCCTGTGGGAAAGGGTGTATTTAGTTCTGGGTCATGAGTGTCTCCCTGGGACCCTATTCCTCACCATTAACTTCCTCTGCATAAACACAGTTTTCCAACCACTTTGCCACCCCCTCCCTCAAAAAAGCATGTACAGGTTTCAAAGTTCAGCTTGCCCTGTTATTATCTTCATATAGAATATTAACTGCAAATCTTCACAATTGGGAAAAGATTATATTTTAAAATCATAATATTTGTGTTCGGATGTATGGAAAATTGTATGACAATAGCTGGTGTAAAAATGGGCCAGCCCATCATTTTCAATAAAGGGTGAGTACCAATCAGCTGTAACTGAGATACTAGTAATTTCTCATCCTCCTACAGGAAATTATAATTATGTTTTAATGTTTCTGCCTTTCAGCTTCACAATCGGAAGGTTTTGTCATTTTTGTGGTAAATGCTTGAAAGGGAATTCTCAAGATTGTTGCCAAGTTTCCTTTAGAAAAAAGTTTTTTGAGGCCAACAAAAGGCTGTATCAAATTATGGAGTTGACCAGAAAAAAGTTGTTTATTTTTCAAATCTCTCACACCCCCATTTCACAATAGAATTGTCTACATTGAGATTGATAGCAAAGGTAGCATTAAAGCTTGTGAGACCTGTTGGGCAGATTTTATCTGCACTGGTTAAATTTCAGAAATTAGCAGCGTGTAATCTGATTGGTCAGGACCTGTAAAGTGGTTAGCCAGTGGGTTGCAGATGTGTGCCTCAGGCAACAGACTGCCTGCCCTGGCCTGCCCAGAATCAGCACTGTTCCTCCCATTCCCATGACAATGGGGGAAGTTGTTCCTCTTGGAGCTATTGTTTGGTGGTACAAAAGAGGCCTGGTGCAGTGGGATGCAAGCAGAGCATGACAGACAGATCTAGCAGTGACCCCCACCCTACAGACTGTGACTGCCAGGAAGTAGCCTAGTGGTAGGGTAAGCTGAGGGGATATGTTTTGTTGTCCCCACATTGCACTCCGTCAACAAGCAGCTGTATGAATGACACTCGCCAGACAAGGCACTCCCACAGACTGAAACAGACACTGTAACAGACACAGGCGGGACAACACTGCACCAACATGGGGACGGACATTCAGAGGCATATCTGCTCTCGTGCTCCTTTAAATGGGTATAGGTAAGCATGTATTCTTTTCCTAGTTCCCCCAGAATGTCAGTGGGCGAATGTGTGCAGTGTACATATGGGAACAAGAAGTTGACTGTTTCAGTGCCCTAGAGTAACCTTTATAGTAAATCCTCTGAGCAGCAGACTTATTATTCAAGGGTGTCTGGAGTAGTGAGTTCTGCTGTGTGATGTCATGTTAGTTTTTTAATGTTCAAGATCATAGGAATTGAATCCTGTCTGTCAGAGGTCCTGAGACAAGTACGGTTGCTCGTAAGGTATTTTATCTCTGAACAGACGTTCTTGATAATCCTGTCACATGAGAAATATTTTTCTGTGCTTCCCAAGGCCTTATCTCAAAAGAATTCTTTAACACTGACCAAGCATGTAAGATTTGGCCGTGCAGGGGAAATTTGCAGATTTGCCAGGCGGTCTATCAAAGCAACAACACGGATTAGAAAAATTACAATAACATAAGGTTGATCTGACTTCAAATAGAGTGAGTCGAGGCTGTGTAGTTTACTATCCGGGGTTGGGTGAATCCCTTAAGAACCCTTAAGTAGAGAATTGGGGGATTTGACGGTGCTGCCTTTGCAAACATAAAGAAAGTTTCGTTGCTCATATGAGAGTTTGCTCCCCGACATCAGACCATGTGGCACTCTTCAACATTTGACTCACGTATGGCGGTTCTTTTCAAGTCAGTCGCTGTGGCTCGGCTGAATGACCGGAATTCTGAGCTTTGCGCATTCCCGATGGTTCGTAAAAGACAGCGCTTACTAAATCACTGCTTTAAAATTCTCTTTGTTCTGTTGCGAGGAAAACGATACGATAGCATCTGGAGTATTTATGGTAAGCCGAATGCTGTCTGCTGCATTTTTCCTGTCCCCAGAGAAAGTGCTGTACTGGAACCTTAGGTCTCACTCATTAGACTGGACCAAAATACGACCCTGCCTGGGTTATGTCATTTAGCACCTTGTGGTTCCAGCCATTGGAATGAACCTTCAGCTGACCCAGTTCTGGCCACTCTAGTAGGGGGACGTCCCAGGAGTAGGTATGGTAAAGAGATTGTTGGCAAGCTTGCCAAAGTTTCTTTGTTTAGGCAGACTTCGGGAAGTTGTTGTATCTCCCACAGAGAAAGAGTATATTGTTACACAGGATATACGACCAGGCACCATGCCAGAAATAAGCTAAGGCAAACCTTCCTGTTTTGCTTTCCCTGTCTCCTTGCTTTGGGGTTTAGGCCAGCAACATGCATGAAATTTACTCAGGAGCATAGATCAAGACTTAGTGCTTAATGACCCCTACAGACCCTTGTCTTTCAGAAGGCAAAATACATTTGTGTGTTTGATGTTGTCCCTAGTATAGGATATATGCCATCTACATGTAAGTCCATCTTGTGTGTGACCCAGAACTAACTACCAAGGTTCTAAGGCTAGGGCTGACAGTGTTGTTGTTTTTCTTGGCAGACAATTTGCATATCATTTCATGCTGACACTAGATATTGTTCATCCATCTTCTTCGCTCTACCATGTTTGTTTATGGTATGGTTCATGGTACTTGTTTCATCATTAAAAATAAACAGTTATTCTTCTCAACTATTAGATATCCATGACTACTATGATGTACATAAAGTTTTGATATCTTGTCAGAAACCTGTCCCCTGGATAATGGATAATAATACCTTTATCTTAAATCATCCTCCCAAACTCAACACCTGTCCCCTCTTAAGACTCTTGATACTGCACTAAGACTTTTGTCCTTACCGCATAATCTCAACAGTTGCCACCTTTTATGTATTGTGGTTTGTGAGGCAGTTCCTTGCCTCAGGGTCTTCACCAAATGAACAATTTGGAACAATGGCAAGGTCTGGAACTGTTGGTCAAACCAGCTATTAAGATGGCATGCTTGATAAGCTTGCAATCTGGGCTTTAGTTTCACTTGGCTGGAGAAGTCTTTCATGTTAAACCTCTAAACAATACAAGATTACTGTATTGTGCAGATGTAATCAGTGATGTTTAGACTAGCCCAGTCACAGGTTATTTCATGTAATACATGCACGTCCCAATAAAAATGACAATTGTTAAACCTCGTATAGCTTACAGTTTAGAAGTGTTTGATTATCCCTCAGTTTATATTTATGACTTTTGTAGGTGAAAACCCTGCACAGAAATAGTATGATGCACATATCAGTGCTTTTCTAGGTGGTTATACTTGTGTTACTTACAGCTGTGTTAGCACCTTACCCCTCCTTCCCTTATTTTGTAGTTGGTAATTATCTAAAGCTGCAGGTGTGGTATGGGAGAGGATGTAATTAACCAGTGTTGGTTGTTGTCACTTTCCGGTTGTGTCTGTTTCTGTACAAAAATGTATTGTCTCTACTAGTCACTAAAATTTGTTTTCCATCGTTAACTGTTTCACTTGAACGCATTAAAGAACACTATATACAAAATGATATCGTTGAAAGAAAAAGCAGAAACCTGTAAGATATTAAGACTGTCGCTATACAAAAGCATTACTGAAGGTGTTTCGTAACTACATGGTATTTAGGACAGTCACACCCAGTGGCAATTATGTGACTATTCTGTAATTATGTAAAAAATTTGAAATCGCTGTTCCTTCTTTTATGTCTCATAAACATAAATCTTTCCTTTTAACAAAGTATGTTAAAAGTCTGTAGAACTGTGGTTCTTTTGTAACTTGAGTAGGTGTAGACGACCCATTAAAAATGATTTATCCTCAGCAACTTTGCAGCTTTAGACAATGGGGTTGACAGACTTCCATTCCAATACTTTGACAGCACTCAACCATAACACGTGATAGATTTCTTAGAGGGAAAGGTGATAGCCAGATAAATGTTCTACTTTTCCCTTCTACTCTCTGGTAGAAGATAAAATCCCTAGTTTTCAGGATTATGTACATTGTACGTGAGCCGCCTTTAGATTTTACATATTATCAGAAAGGCAACCCAAGCTTTAGATCTACCTGTAGGCTGTAGGGGATTCTTGTTTGTGTTGGAGAGACCTTTTTGGAGTGACAGTATGACGGATTTAGAAGCAGTTGCCAGTTGGTGTTAGAGATATTGAGGCAACATTGGCATGATGCCATAAACACAGCTGAAAAGCCAACCTGCACTTCCTGTGATCTTATCTCCGTGTAGTTCTTTACCTCGGGACGGAAGTATTGGACACATCTATTTTCGCTGACTATCTTGTAGGCACAACATTATCATGTACATGTACATTTGTGTGACTGAGCTGTGTGACTAAAATCAAAACATTATACACTCACACTTCATGTACATCAGAAGAAAAACATGCTAGTAAGATACTTAATAATAACTTATAAGATAATAAGCTACTTCCTGGGGTATGCCATTAGGTGAAGTGTTTTGTTTCTATCAGATGAAGTGTGTGGTGAAGACTAGTTTGTAGATGCAGGTATACCATGTTTGATTCAAGAAAATGAATTATCTTTTGTTGTTGAGCAGGCTGCAAATTTTCCACCACCTGTTCCTATACAGATATGTCAGATTCTTAGCTGTGTATCACAAATCTGGGGCTTGTAGTAGTCCAATGGGACATGTTGTATTACCGCTATAATGAAATGTTCAGGGCTTTCCTCAAACATTAGTATAAATCTTTCTAATCCCTTGACTATCACCTCCACTTACTCTTGTTCCCAGGAGCTCTATCCCCTCCCAATCTCCATCCCAGGAGTTCTCTTATATGGGAAATACATATTGTACTCATTGATAAATTGTTACTATTTCTAGAGTTTCTTGCAGTCAATAATATTTCCAAATGACAGATGCATCTGCGGTATTCTGATAATCTTGGCTAGTGCATGTATTATGATGTACATTTTTATCTTGTAGTAAAGCTCATCATGTACTGTTGCTCTCTCTTGTACTGTTCTGTATAACTGACATAGCCAGCTGACCTGATGTATTTTCTGGATGATTCTATATTACTTAATATTATAATAAGGTATCATAATTTACGGTAGTACTTATGTTTAGATCATAACAACTGCACAGTAATATTTTCTCATTCAGAATAACATCTGATAAAATGCCTGATTTGGAAAGGACCTAGGCTATAGCAATATCTGTAAATCCCCTGCAGTGTAGAAAGATTACTTGTTTTTTCTGGAGCAGCACCAATTTCTACTTGGGACATGTTTCTTCACCGCCTCCATGAGTTTGCCAATAACCATGTCAGAACAGCCCTATTATGTGCACTAAAAGATGATTTAGCCCTCCGTTACTGTCATCTCACTTAATCATCCTGACTAGTAAATGTCAAAGGAGGCCACAGCAGACACGTTTTTGAGTGTGCCTCTTAACGAAGTCATTAATTATACCAGTACAAAGCCAAGTTCCAGCAGCAAAGTATGTTGAAATACAAGTGAACAAGACACATAGCATTGTGTTTTTTTATATCTACTGCTCAAGTCGGTAACTGTGATGAATGCATTGTCAAGAATAGTGTTCCTGAAGACTTTATCCTGCAAGCAGACCCTCTTTCATCTTAGTTTCATCTATCTCAAGATCAATTCTTCATCGCAAAATTTGCTAGCATCAAACGAAAGGCAACAGTAGAGATGAATCCTGCGGAGTTTATGCAGGATTAACTGATGTCTGGGTGGTATGCATGCAGATGTCGCATGCAGATTTCACAGGAATGGGTTCTATAGGCTATATAAAATGTGGATTTACTGCATATCTGCATGGATGCACATCTGCATTCCTACCTGGTGTCTGCTGATATGGATGATACCCCACACGTCTACTTTGAATAATGATTTCCATCGGCGGCTCCTACAAAAACCTTGAGGCTTTCATAGCTCAACATTCCAGGCCATTATCTAAGGAAGTTAAATGTTGAAAGAAGAGAGTATGTATCAAGATTTGAAACTAAAAAGTATATAGTAAAAGTTGTGATGGAGAAACATGATAAAATTTGTCCACATAGAATTTGTTGAAATTTGAACATTATCGATTATACAAAAGGAGA